ATATAAATGTTCACTGTGTTCATGCGATGTTTTTACAAAAGTACCCTCTGAACCGTTGTTCATAGGCATCTCAATTAATATATTAATTAAATGATTATTTTTAATAGTCTCATTTAATAAGGACCGTTTGATGAGAAAATGAACGATCAAGATCGGGTTAACATAGTTTGCACAATAGTTTTGGTTAGTATTTGAACCAACCCCTATAGATATATATATATATATATATAGACTTGAGATCATATGAGACCAAGGCTTTTTCGTGAAACCCGTAAGACCACTTCTCAACCCTTGGATTAGATCTATAATCTCAATATTCATAATCACAAAATTGACACAGATTTCTCAATAATTACAAAATTACCACCATGCAATTTTACACCAAGGCTTTTTCGTAAGACCCGTAAGACCAATTTTCAACCCTTGGATTAGATCTACAATCGTCAGATCTAAACATTCACAAACGCCGCGTGAGTTCTCAATAATCACAAAATTGTCACTGTGCAATTTTAGACCATTAGATCATTAGCTTATAAAATTGATCAATGAACGTATATTGGTCTTACAGGTCTCACGAAAAACCTTGGGTCTCACGTGAACTCAACCCTATATATATATATATATATATGAGAGAGAGAGAGAGAGGAGTTTTACTTTGCAAACCACGTTATTTGTACAAACCGTACAAACCTTATTCAACCAATCATAATTTTTCATTTTGTTCATTTTTTGTAATTATGAGAGATTGATTAATCATTTTTATTGTGCAGAGTGTTAATCATGGATATTATTATCTTTATTATTTTAATTTTAGAAAAATACATGAAACAGTTTCACTAAAATTTTATTAAGTATTATATAAAACAATTTCATAACCATATACGAAACAACTTTATAAAAAAAGTATTATATGAAACAATTTTCACAAGATTAAACAATTTCATGAAAAAATTTCATAAGATTAAACAATGAAATCGATCGACGGATGAAGGTGGTTTGCACGGTTTGTACAAATTGGATGGTTTGCATTTAATCGCTCTTTTATCTCTCTCTCTCTCTCTATATATATATATATATATATATATACACTAGAAGGGTACTCGAATGCATCGAGACACATTTCGATTTCGATGTTTATTTTTATTTTTTATCTATGTCGATATAATACGATTTTACGTGGTTTTGAGAAAACGATAATGCTTTTAATTTTGAATAAAATATAAATTTAAAAATATCATAAAAAATTTGCAAAAAAATATATCAATATTAGTATCAAATTAACTATTTAAAAGTTTTTATTTGTGTATTTTTTTTAATTCAAATTTTTATTATAATTTAATTTATCGTAACGAAGTAACTTAATTTAGGTTTAATAATATCTATACTATATTATAAAGCATTTAACAAAAACTCTTAAAAACCAATTTTGATGCATGAAGTACTGTATATTGATGCATATTACTTAAAATTCAAGATTACAAATAATTATGCATAAGTACAACTTATTAAAGCTCCATAATTGAATTTGTGTAACTAACTGCGGATAAACATAACCAATTAGAGGATAAACATCTCATTTTAAAATATAAAAATATAATTAGGATAATTATCGGGTTGTAAAAGAATAATTAATTATTATATTTATAAGAAAATTATATTATTAAATCAAATATAAATTACTTCGTTATTGAACCTAAATTAAAATAAAAAAATTGAATTAAAAAATTATACAAAAACTAGAAATTTTAAATATTAATTTGATATTAACATCGATACATTTTTGTCAAATTTTTATGATATATTCAAATTTATATTTTATTCAAAAATAAAAACAATATCGTTTTTTTCAAAATCACGTAAAACCATACTATAACATCGACTGAGATAAATAATAAAATGAAATATAAAAATCAAAATATATATCGTTGCATTACACGAGTACCCTTCTAGTTTTTTTATAAAGATAATAATTAAGTATTCTGTTAGAACTTAATAATTATCCTAATTTTATTTTAGATTTTTTATATTTTAAAATGAGATGTTTATCCTCTATTTGATTATGTTTATCCGCAGTTAGTTACACGAATTCAAACATAGAGCTTTAATAAGTTGTATTTATGCAAATTTTACTTGTAATCTTGAATTTTAAGTAATATGCATCAATAAACAGTACTTCATGCATAAAAAATGGTTTTTAAGAGCTTTTGTCAAATGCTTTATAATATAGTATATATATGTATATATATATATACATATATATATAGGGGCCTAATCAAATGAGAACTAATTAGTTTGTGATAACTGTGAGCTAGAACCAATATTAACCACAAATCAATAGATAAATTAGGAAATTTATAATTTTGACAATTTTGAATTAAAATATTAATGCAAGGATATTTTTGGTATTTTAAAACTTTCCTCCCTCCTCTCTTCTCTCTCCGGCCACAGTCCTCCGGCCATCGTCCGCCGGCCACCGTCCTCCGGTGATACTACAATGGTATCACAATGCATCATATATGTGCTTGGGTATCACATTGATGTCGTTTGTGTGGTCGATCGAAGATGTAACACAGTGGTATCACTATRCATCTTATATATGATTAGGTATCACAATGTATCTTTTGTTTAACAGAGTCAATATTTTTAGGTATCACAATGTATCTTTTGTTTAACAGAGTCAATATTTTTAGGTATCACAGTGGTATAATAGTGGTATCACCGGAGGAGGACGGTGGCAGGAGAGAGAAGAGAGGAGAGAGGAGAGTTTTAAAATACAAAAAATATCCTTTCTTTAAGATTTTAATTTAAAATTACCAAATTTATAAATTTCCTAATTTATCTATTGATTTGTGGTTAATATTGGTTCTCACAGTTACCACAAACAACTCAGTTCTCCCTTGAATAGGCCCCTATATATATATATATATATATATATATATATATATATGATAGAAGTTTAATCTGTGTTTATATATAGGATATTTGTGTGGGTGGTTCAGACTCGATCAATAGTCGTTTATATTGTGATTTTGTTTAACAAAAGGTATGGATTTCTTATCCTTCGAATTTGAGGGATGCCCGTTTGCATATGGACTTCCCATCCGTGATATGATTTCTTAGAATTCATCTGAAAGGGTGAGCTAATACTTTTCTTACCATTAAAACTTTGTAATGATCTTGTTTCCAAGAAATGCTTTGAGATGACAACTCAGATCTTTTAATCCAATTTCGAAATTTATTGTGATCTCGATTCTATGATTTTTATTTGTTATTATCAATTGATATATAGAACAATGAACCGTAAAACTACGGTAGCTTTTATTGGGTGATTTGATTTATGGTTGATGATTTGAATTTGAGTCTTATAAGACATAGTACGTAGTTGGGGCATCGACTGCAATGACGTTTCTATGGTAGCTGGAAGTACCATAGAGTCCTCGTGATTGAAAGCTCGGGAAATGAGCTTGGACTAGGCATGGGTAGATGGCGGATGGATCGATCCTAGGATAGTGTCATGTCCGCGATGTTTCGCGAAAGGGATTGAGTTATGATGTGCCCAGTTATACCTTTCCCATAGCCCAAGTAGACTGATCATCTCTTGAGAGATTGCGACGCACAAAGGTGGTTCGTGTAATAACCCCTTTGGGTGATATGAATAAAAGTATTCCCGTCGTGTTTTTTGAGTCATGGATTATAATTGAAAATGAGTCAATTATTGGGAGATTGCGACATACAAATGTTGACTTTTAAGATATCACTTTGTTATTTGGTTTTTGGATTGAAATAATTTGTTGAATTAAAGTTGTTTGATGTTTCTCATGTTGGTATCTCATTTTATTATGGTGTTTTCATATGTTCTGGTTCATATTTTTAAATCCGTCCATTGAGTCATAGCTCAGCCGTGTATTGTTTCATGACACGGCAGGTATAATTGACGAGACTCTAGACAGGTTAGGTAAGTGACATCGAGTGACGATCCATTGATACAACCGAAGATATCAATCCTTATTTTGTAAATCTTCTGTTATTGTAAATTAAAGTTTATAACCATCGATTATTCATTTGATAGATGTAATCAATATATGATGGGTTTATTTTAGTTGCTCGATCTGATCTTTTATTGTTTTGTATTTTTTTACTATGATTTTATACTCCAAGTCATAAATGTCACACCGCCGCCTGTCCTCGACCACGTGGAACATGAGGTGTTACAGATATAGTGTTACAAATATGGTATCAGAGTCGAAAACCGGATCGGTGTGCCAACGAAGACGCTGGGCTTTCAAGAGGGGTGGATGGTAAGATCCCACATTGATTGAGGAGGGGAACAAAGGTTGCGTTTTAAGGGACTTGATACCTCTTCTATCAGACGTATTTTAAAACAATGAGTCTAGGTATATGGATAAAACAGACAATATCTGATACGGTTGACCTGAGAAGATATATTTGTGCCATCATGATATTAATTACCGCTATTTCCGTATGATTATGTTCTCGGATTTATAACGGCAAGCATCGGATTAAGTTTCTGTGTTGTGAGCCCAAGCGTATTCACATCTTCTCCGGTGTCCTCTTTAAGTCGCCACTCGAACTCCTGAACCATTCGTCCGATACTCATGCAAGCAAGCAACATTGCCTGCATAGCCCCAGCACATACTCGTTTCCCCCCTCCAAATGCCATCGTTCTTTGTAGGTCGATTGGTTCGTTTTCGGCTAGAAATCTCTCCGGGTTCCACTCTTCCGGATTCTCCCAGATTCCCTTCTCCATATTACACCCATAAATGTTTATTGCAAGCTGCAAAACATCTAGTTTTAGCGACATTTTAAAAGTGACATCTCATTAACGACAGTTGATCTAGAAAAACAAACCTCGGTGCCAGCGGGAACATGGTAGCCTCCGAGCACCGTGTCCTCGTGCACATATCGTAAGGGCATTATCGAAACAGGACTGTGCCTTCTCAAAGTTTCATGGAAAACGGCCGATAAGTATGGCATTTGGCACAATTTCTCCTCTGTGATCTTTTGTGATCCACAAACATTTTGGAGTTCGTCATAGAGACGATCCTGTTTCTTTGGGGATTTTGAGAGCTCATACATTGCCCATTCTGTGGTAACCATAGTGGTGTCCGCTGTTTCGATGATCGGTTCCCAAAGTGACATTAGCAGTTGTTTCTCCGTTAACGGTTGTGCCTCCGACAATAAGTAGTCGATGAAGCTGTCCAAAGACTGTTATCGGAAAAATATATACCGAAATCCAGTTAATATAGTTTTCGCTTTGTCGCAGCAACGAGTATTATGTACTAGTATGGCTTACCTCCCCAGAATCTATCCGTTTTGTGTGTTCTTGAATCAAGGCCTTCATCACAGCATCTTTTCGGATAACCAGTTGCTCCATTTTCTTCTCGAAGCTGGGATTGGGGATCCACTTTAGATACGGAAAAAAATCTCTCCAGTCAACTTCAATGGCACCCATCATCGGATCAGTCACCAAAACCTGAAAGACCTCCTCTCTTGCCATGGTGATCCCTAGATCTCCCACGTAAAGGCTTTCGACATCCTTCCCCATCACCTGCAAATATATGGTATAATGTTTACTGAATCATTGAATTCAAACCCATTTTGCAGAACTAATGGTTTATGGTATCCTAATCTTTTTCATGGTTTGCAAAAAAGGGTTAGAAAAACTCACTTGTTTGAATGCTAACGAGAAAAGTTGAGATTGGATAAGTTTCCTGAGGTTTATAGCTTCGTGAGAAGACGTGGAAGCCAAGGCATGAAGTTGGTTTGAAAGATTCTTCGCCATTGAATCTCTATGGACTCGATGTTTGTTCTAATATCGGTTCATCAAGATTAGTCAGTAATAGCCGAAGTGGAATGAACAAAAACAAGGGTTTTAGGATTATGATCACGAACCCGAGCAAGTGGTCCGAGGACACTAGTGAGTATGTTGCGTTTGACAGTCTTGTGATATTCGTCATAATCACTCATTGCGACCATGGTTTTATCAGACGTCAGCATCGTTAATGCCTTTGAAAGCTTTCTGGTTGAAATGGAGTCAAATCTGGTCACCATGGCCTATGGTAGCATTATATGAACACAGATTAATATTGATGAAGTAAATGAATGGATGTACAGGAAGCCAAAAGATAAATGTATTACCTCTTTAGCAAGTTGATTAGAGCTAACGACAACCAAGGAGGTGGCTCCAGTTTTAATGGAGTAAATCGGACCGTAAGTTTCTGCCCACTTTGTAAAAGTTTTATATGGTTTCTTCTCCTTCAACTGAAACAAATTCCCTAACAATGGCACCCCTGGAACCTCTACAATTACGAACATAGAAATTTGAAGTTGTTAAAGTTTGACGATCGACAAAGGTGAGATCGATGTGAAGAAGAGAGCAGAGGCGTACCAGGAAGAGTAGGGAGATGATTTCGGTTAGCAGGTTGATGATGAGATAGAAAACTCCTGAGAAACAAGAAAAGAAAACCTCCGACGACCACCGCCACGGCCACCGCCGGCGTCACCGATTGCACATCCATCTTTCTTTCTTTTTTTCAACAAAGGAAGAAGATGGTTGGTGATTATGGAAAAAGATCCGTATTTTATCCATTTTGCAAGTATTGTCGTCTTATGCGTTATGTCTGCCGGCCGTCGGCCGCTCGGGTATCGCGCGTGGTGAGATTAAAAATTCCCGTTAAAAAGAAATAGAGTAAAACTCTGTAGTTTGTTAAGAATTCTTTTTTGTCTCCATAGTTTCGAAATCAACGGTTTTCATCTTTCTGGTTTACCCGTGTTCCTACTTTTTTTCCCCTCTTAACTGATAACGTTAAGAAAGGGGAATTATATACATATATACACGGTTGGGTTTTTTGTGAGACCTCTATGACCAATTTATGTTCATTGATCAAATTTATAAACTAATGATCTAATAGTCTAAATTTGCAAGGTAGCAATTTTGTAATTATTGAGAAGTCTCGTGACATTTATAAATATTCAGATATGACGATTGTAAATCTAATCCAAGGATTGAGAATTGGTCTTACGGGTCTCACATGATCCCAAGTCTCTCTCTCTCTCTATATATATATAGACTTGAGATCATGTGAGGACAATGGTTTTTCGTGAGCCCCGTATGACCAATTCTCAACCCTTGGATTAGATTTACAATATGAACATTCATAATCACAAATTGTCACGAGACTTCTCAAGAATCACAAAATTGTCACCGTGCAACTTTAGACCATTAGATCATTAGCTTATAAAGTTAATCAATGAACATAACATGATCTTACGGGTCTCACGAAAAACCCTTAGTCTCATTTGAACTCAACCCTCTATATATATATATATATATATATATATATATATATATATATATATACATATTTCTTCCACAACCTTAAGAGTAGTTTGCTGGTTTGGGGTGGACTCCGGCCGTGCCTAACTTGTTTTTTTTTGTCCAACTAACCTAATATTATACACCAAAGTCTTTTTTTCGGGTTTGACAACTTACCATTGCCTGTTCTATAAACGGGCCCAAACTCGCCCACGGGCTAACGAGCCTAAAATGTGTAACTCTTATAAATCTATAAACTTGATCACTAGCAATTAATTAACAAATGTGGAACCAAAGTATGTAACTCTTATAAATCTATAAACTTGAAACATTTAATTCTCTTTTTGGTTCTATTACGTTTTCTTTATTTTAGCGTTTTTGACTTTAGGGTTTTTAATTTGAAATGATGTGAGGTTTGAATTAGATTTTTTAATTTTAGGGTTTATTTTAAGTTTTTTTTTGTATCTAATGGTTTGTTGTTGTGCTTCATTTGTTGGAAACTTTGGAATATGTTAGTGTTTTTTTGTTGGAATTTATTAGAGTATGTTAATTTTCTTCATCTGTCAAAAAACTTGGAATATTTTATGTTTATTGGAATCTCTCGATGTTTTTTGTCAAGAAACTTGAAATTTTTGGTGTTTATTATTGTCCTTGGAAAATATGTTCTTGATGAAGATATTCTTAAAGGATATATTCTTGAAGAAGATGATCTTGGAGAAGATGAATTTTAATAATAAAAAAGAGACAAAAATTAAGAAAAAAACTCATTAAAATTAAGAAAATACTAAAAGACCAACTTACCCTCATTGTTAACGGACTAGTTAGACGATTGTTAGTTTGAGGGCCAAATCTAAACAAACTGCATACATGGAGGGTTTTTATGTAATAAATAAACAGAAATGACAAAATCCGTAAGAAATGACATACTTGAGAGACCAAATCTGTAATTTACTCTAATTTTTTTTTTTAAATACATTCCAAACTTGTATACTTAAAAGTTAATAAAAAAAACAAGTAGACTGATCTAACTTCCATCATATATTTAACATGTGGGGTCACTTTATATTCCACTCTAAACGTTGTCACAATAAGAGACAAAATCCAAAAGTAAAATTAAAATCACACACAATATTTTGAAAATAGAAAAGTCTAAAAAAAATTTAATAGACTTTAGTGTTCGAAATGATTAAGTTTTTGGATAATTTTTTAGAACAAATAAATTCTTAGACATTACAAAACATGTCAAATAACTCATTGGACTTCCTAAAACCTGTTAAATACATTCTTATAACATATACAACTAGTTGATATATAAAAAGTAATGAAAATTCTAAAAAAGAGCCAATAGACTTTCATATTCTGAACGATTAAGTCCTTAAACATTTTGTGAACCAAAAAAGTATTTAAATCTATAAAATAAAACAATTATACCAAAAAAATTGAAATTGTTTGGATCTCTAAAAGAAAGCCTTTGCTTGTTTTCGACTGGTTTTCCCTTTGTTTTGCTAGGCTCTGTTTTGAGCTGCTTTCTCTTGTTTTGTTTTTTGAAATATGGCCTTTCAAAGAAAACAAGTATAGAGGCCATTTATCAGACGCTTATTCAGATAAGTGAACATCAAGTCATTTTATCTTACCGGATGAATATTGTAAGGATCTAGAATTTTACCTTGTAAGAGCGAATTTTACCCTGTAAGAGCGAGATAAGGACCAAGAGTCTTCCTCGGTAAGTGAATGCGACGACTCTTACCATGGTAAGCGCTTACCGGATAAATTGTTGCATACGATACCGTTTTGGTGGACTAAAATCTTATCCAGTAAGTAAATGATAGCGTTAAATTTACCGGTAAGCGCTTACCGGATAAATTGTTGCATACGATGCCGTTTTGGTGGAATAAATTTTATCCGGTAAGTAAATGATAGCGTTAAATTTACCGGTAAACGCTTACCTGATAAATTGTTGCATACGATACCGTTTTAGTGGACTAAAATCTTATCCGGTAAGTAAATGATAGTGTTAAATTTACCGGTAAGCGCTTATCGGGTAAGTGTTTGGTAAACGATCCCTTAATCAAATTTGAGACTATATTATAATTCAAGAATCAACGAGAGTCGTCTGCATGTGAACCTCATTACAACCAAAATATGTATAACATTAATTTAGGAATCAATATTTTCTGGGCTTTATAATAGCACGCATCGGATTAAGTTTCTGAGTTGTGAGTCCAAGCGTATTCACATCTTCTCCGGTATCATCATCAAGTCTCCACTCGAACTCCTGAACCATTCGACCCATACACACACAAGCAATCAGCATCGCTTGCATAGCCCCGGCGCACACTCGTTTCCCCCCTCCAAACGCCATCGTTCTTTGCAGGTCGATCGGTCCGTTTTCCGCAAGAAACCTCTCCGGCTTCCACTCTTCCGGGTTCTCCCAGATTTCCCTCTCCATATTACACCCATAAATGTTTATTGCAAGCTGCAAAACATCTGCTACGTTTAAACAACATTTTTAAGAGTGACACATCTTGTTAGTTAATGATGGTTAATCTAAAACAGACCTCGGTCCCAGCAGGAACATGGTACCCTCCAAGCACGGTGTTCTCGTGCACATATCGTAATGGGATTATCGAAACAGGACTATGCCTTCTCAAAGTTTCATGAAAAACGGCCGATAAGTATGGCATCTGGCACAACTTCTCTTCTGTGATCTTTTCTGACCCACAAACACTTCGGATTTCCTCATAGAGACGATCTTGTTTCTTTGGGTTTTTCGCGAGTTCGTACATTGCCCATTCTGTGGTGACCATAGTGGTGTCTGCTGTTTCGATGATTGGTTCCCAAAGTGACATCAGGAGTTGTTTCTCCGTTAATGGTCGTGCCTCTGACAACAAGTAATCGATGTAGCTGTTCAGATTCTGTTTTCGGGGGAGAACGTAAATCATGTTAATATGAATTTTGATTTGTAGTAACGAGAATTACGAACTAGTACATGGTTTACCTCCCCGGACTCTATGCGTTTTGTGTGTTCTTGAATCAGGGCCTTCATCACAGCCTCTCTTCGAATATACATTTGCTCTATTTTCTTTTCGAAGCTGGCATTGGGAATCCAATTCAGATAAGGGAAGAAGTCTCTCCAGTCGACTTCTATGGCACCCATCATCGGATCAAGCACCAGAACCTGAAACACCTCCTCTCTTGTCATGGTGATTCCAAGATCTCCAACATAAATGCTGTCGACATCCTTCCCCCATGCCTGCAATACGTTATATGTTCATCAAATCATTCAAACATCTTACAGATGATGGTTTATGGTTTGCAAACAAGGGTTAGAAAGACTCACTTGTTTGAGTGCTAATGAGAAAAGTTCAGACTGGAAAATTTTCCTGAGGTTTATAGCTTCGTGAGGAGACATGGAAGCCAACGCATGAAGTTGGTTTGAAAGATTCTCGGCCATGGTGTCTCTATGGACCCGATGCTTCTTCTGTTATATATTGATTTAACAGCATTAGTTAGTAATACCGGTATAGCCGAAGAGGCCGGAATGAACGAAAACAAGGGTTTTAGCTCGGATTATGATCACGAACCAGAGCTGCCGGTCCCAGGATACTAGTGAGTATGTTGCGTTTGACAGTTTTGTGATAGTCATCATAATCACTCATTGCCACCATGGTTTTATCAGCTGTGAGGATCCTTAAAGCCTTTGAAAGCTTTCTGGTTGAAATGGAGTCGAATCTGGTCACCATGGCCTATGACATTACAAGAACCGATGAATATAAACACAGATTAACTGAGCTTTGATACAGCCTGTTATTGGATAACTGCAAATGACAAAAGATATATATAGAGAGCCCTTAGTACCTCTTTTGCAAGATTATTAGAGTTAACGACAACCATGGAGGTGGCTCCAGTTTTAATGGAGTAAATAGGGCCATAAGTTTCAGCCCATTTTGTAAAAGTCTTGTATGGTTTCTTCTCCTTCAGCTCAAGCAAATTCCCCAACAATGGCAGTCCTGGTACCTCTGCAATTTTCATTTACACTCATCATCAAATACACCTTAAATTGCGGCTAAACACCGTCTATTACATTATTGACTTGTTTGTACTCATACAAGCTTGAATAAAATCCAAATAAAAGGCTAAAAATCACACTAATTTGCTGCATAGACTAAGGTTTTTGACAAACAGATTCATCAAGTCTCCCTGCGTAAGAGCAGAAAATCTACTCTTATTTAATCAAAGTTATATATTTTTAATATACAGGTAAATTAAAGATGGATATGAAGGATAGAGGAGATGAGTAGTACCAGGAACACGATTGGGATTACCACGTTGATGAGACAGAAAAGTTTTGAGAAACAAGAAAGAAAGACCACCGGCAACCGCCACCGCCGGACCACCAAATTGGACATCCATGTTGTCACCGGAGAAACAGAGGAAAGAGACAAAGTGTTTGCTGATTGAGAATCTTGGCTTTTTGGAAGTGGGAATATGTATATATATGGAGAGAGAGAGATACGGGAAAAGATGCTGAAAGAGTTGGTACTTGATCCATTTAGTCGTATGCACCGCGCGTCTTTTCCCCTAAAGAGATTGATGAGATACTCGCGTTAAAAAAAAAGGAAATATAATTAAAGTTTTTTATGACGTTAAATGTTTTAAAAATTAGAATTATTTTAAAATAATCAAATATAATATAGTTTATTATTATCCTTTATATATATTATATATATATATATATATATATATATATTAGAAGGGTACTTGTACAATACAACAAGATACATCTCGATTTTAATGTTCTATTTTATTATTTATTTCTGTCAATGTTATAATACGATTTTATGTGTTTTTAAGAAAACAATAATAATTTTATTTTTAAATAAAATATAAATTTGAAAATATCATAAAAATTTGAAGAAAAAAATATATCGATGTTAATATCAAATCAACTATTTAAAAGTTTTTATTTTTTATGTAATTTTTCTTTAATTTATTTTTTATTATAATTTAACTTAAGTTTAATAATGAAATAATTTATTTTTTGGTTTAATAATATAATATTTTATAAAGATAATAGTTAGGTATTCTCTTAGAACTCAATGATTATCCTGTATTTTAGATTTTTTATATTTAAAATAAGATGTTTATCATATATTTGATTATGTTTATCTACAGTTAGTTATACAAATTCAGATATGAAGCTTTAATGAGTTGTACTTATGCACAATTTACTTGTAATCTTGAGTTTTAAGTAACATGCATTAATAAGCAGTACTTTATGCATAAAAAGTTGTTTTTAAGAGTTTTTGTCAAATGTTTTATAATATAGTATATATATGTAATTTTTTTAATTTATTTTTTAATTTAAGTTTAATAATAAAATAATTTATTTTTGGTTAGTAATATAATATTTTATAAAGATAATAATTAAGTATTCTGTTAGAACTCAATGATTATCCTGTATTTTAGATTTTTTATATTTAAAATAAGATATTTATCTTGTATTTGATTATGTTAATCTGCAGTTAGTTACACAAATTCAGATATGGAGCTTTAATTAGTTGTACCTATGCACAATCTACTTGTAATCTTGAGTTTTAAGTAACATGTATTAATAAACAGTACTTTATGCATAAAAAATGGTTTTTAAGAGTTTTTGTCAAATGTTTTATAATATAATATAGATATATATATAATTTTAAGTTGTAAAGTTATCTAAATATGATGAGAAAATTAGAGTTCTCTGACACGTTCTCCAAAATATAGAAGCAAAAAATAAAAATATTTTAAAAAAAATTACCTTCATTTCCAATAGATTCTTTAATTTTAGAGATTACTAAATTAATTATATTATTAAAATATTCAACACAGCTCATAAAAAATTTCATGCAATTTAATTTGTAGAAAGAATAAAAAATTAATTCTCTCCCATAAGTTATATTTTTGGAGAAATCTTCATATTTGAAGAATTTCATCCTCTATCTGCTACTTTCTCCATTTTGGAGAAGGTTTTGAGAAATCTGTTGATGCAAAAATCCTCAAAATTTTCATTTTTGAATAGATTATTTAAAATGGATAATCAAAAATTAAAGTTTTTGTAAAAAATCATCTCTGTTCTAAATATTTAATTTTATTGATAGAAAAAAAACAAAGAATTTATCGTTGATAGCAATCTTTTTTTGGAGAAATCTTCAAATCCGGAGGATTTCACCTTTCCATTGAAGCAAAAATCTCTAAAATTTCATTTAGGGAAATCTGTTAGAGATCCTTTAAAGGAGAGAGAAATGATTTTGTATTTCCAGATTCTTGGAAAAATATTTTGGAAAGAAAAATAATATTTATTAATTGTATTGAATATTTTATCAACAAAACTAACATCGTAATCTTTTGAAATGGAAAAGTTCTTTAAGATTTTAATTTATGAAATTATTTTTGGATAATCGTTGTTTATGCATTAATAACTGTTTATTGATGTATATTACTTAAAATTCAAGATTATAAGTAAATTGTAGGTATATATAATTTATTAAAGCTACATGTTTGAATTCATGTAACTAACTGCAGATAAACATAATCAAATATTGAATATGTATCTTATTTTAAATATAAAAAATTTAAAATATATTTAGATAATTATTGAATTATAACAAAATACTAATTATTATCTTTATAGAAAAAACTATATCATTAAACCAAGAATAAATGACTTCATTATTAAATCTAAATTATAATAAAAAATTGAATTAAAGAAATTACACAAAAAAACTTTTAAAAATTTAATTTGATACTAAAATCGATATATTTTGAATTTTTTTATTACACCCTCAAATTTATAATTTCATTCAAAAAGTAAAAACATTATCGTTTTTTCAGTACCACATAGAATAGTATTATAACATTGACGGAGACATAATAAAACAAAACATTAAAATCGAGATAGTACTCACTACATTGCACGAGTACCATTCTAATCCTCTTAAATTAATTTGCACCCCTTCTACTATTTACTCCCTCTCACAAACAAATTTAACAGGTCAATCTTCATCATATTTAGATTTTAATTACATTTTATAACATTATAATTATTTATTAAACTTATTTTACATTATTTACTCTTTTATTTTACACCTTTATCATATTAATATATACATAATTATATATTAACTAAAATACATCAAAAATACATTTCTTCTTTTTTACAGATTACACCATTATGACTTCTCGTCAATATCTTTAGATGAGC